CCAGGGTTTGACCGAAGTGCTTGAGCGCAGATCTTGCGCGCAGTTCCGCGGCAAGGCGCACGCGACCGCGGGAACGTCCTACGACAGTATGCAGCGCTGGCAGCTATGGATGCCTGTGGCCGAATGCTTAGTCCGGGCGCACGCATCCATAGCTGCCAGCGAACAGTCTCAGACAATTTTAGTGGGGGACACAGAGGGCAGACATTTGGGACGTGAACAGTGTTTCACTTGTTATAAAACATAATGTCTTCTGTTCGTAACCGAGCTGTGTCCGCCGAAATCACAGAAAGACTGACGAATTTTCAGCGTTCGCGACCTTGCCCAGTAATGGAAATGGCCGCTGCAGACGGACAAAGGCTATATAACGGACTCGCTCCACCTCGATTACCATCGGGACTAGGCTACGCCGAGAGGTAGAAGCGGTGCCAGTCTATGAGCTATAGCGCAGCGCGCAGGCGGCGCACTGCTTTCCAACTTCCCGCGTACGAGCCTCGCCATTGAACGCTTGCAAAAATGTTGCAGTGTTGCGGTGACAGCATTTCCATTACTGGGCAAGGTTTCGCGAACGCCGAGAAAAATTCGCTCAGTCATTTGTGTGATTTCGCATGACACAGCTCGGTACGAACAGAGACATTGTTTATTATAACAATGTGACACTGTGTTCAAAGGAGAAACAAAGATGGAAGCTGTTGAATGTGTATTAGTGCTGTTGAGACTTGAGAATATTGAATAAAACTTTTACTTTATCAGTTAACAGATTATCCAGTCAACAGCTATACAAATGACGATCAGACAATGTTAAACAAATGTTTCCTTACGTAGGGTAGAGTGGGGTAAGATGCCCCCTCTAAGGATAATTCCTTCTATCTTTGCAATGGGAAATCTAATCAGCATGATATTCCTCAGTTTGGATGCTATGGAGTTAGACTATCAAAAAATGTACATGTTTTTTCAATTGTTGGTCTAATGACTTGGTAAAACCCTCTTGATCTTAAGTTGAAAATGGGGCATCTTACCCCATCATTTTAAAATATTTCTATTCAAAGGAAACAAACTTGAACTATGTAACTGAGTATAAGATTATGCTAAATATGAATAATTCCAATGCATTAAGAAGTCTATTTGGATTTATTCATTGATAATAGTTACATGACAGCTCATTAGTACCTTTTATAGGTGATGGCAAACAAACAGAGGATCCAAGAAAGCAATACAAATTAGCCCAACATATGGGCTATAGGGGCATACAACTTAAAGGTAAAGTAGCCTTGAGAACATACAATACATAGCAAAGTCTGACAATACAAGTATAGTGAGAAATTTAATTCAAGATATTGAATATTGTGAAATTCAGAATAAACATGCACATCTTCCAACATTCAAGTTTTACATTTCATCATCCGATTCACAGTTTGGACAAATCGACATTGCTTCACCAGCAGTGCAATCTTCATGCGTCCAGTGTCGACATGCAACACATGTCATCCATTTTTTACCTGGCTGGCTCTGGCTGTATTTTTCAGTACATACAAGGCAGGGCCACTCTTCATCATCGTCAGAATCACTCATGATCTACAGCTTTTCTCTTCCTTTTCTTCCCAACATTATTTTGTTTTCCTGTCCCCCTGGTTTCATTAGTGTTGTTTTCTTTACTTTGAGTTGCTATCCTTTTCCCACGTCCTCTACCTTGTCCTCTACCTCTTCCACGTCTACTTGCACTTGCTTCATTTTCTTCCGTGTTGTTCTCTTTGCTTTGAGTTGCTTTCCCTCTTCCTCGTCCTCTACCTCTTCCACGTCCTCTTGCAGTTGCTTCCTTTTCTTCTAAAGCTTTCTTAAATGGAGATGCAGTGATCAATGTAGCATGTTCTGTTTTCCGTTTACGCTGGCGGGATTTTGTGGCTTTAATTGGGGAAGTTAACTCGGCCAACACAGAACGCGCATCTACTGTGCTTGGTCCAGCTTGGGCTGCAGGTGCAGGATCTGCAGGCTCAATGGCAGGTCCAGGGTTGGCAGACTCAACTGCAGGCACAGGATTAGCAGGCTCAACTGCAGGCACAGGATTAGCAGGTCTCAGAAGGCAGAGCAGGATTAGCAGGCTCAATCAGCAGGCACAGGAGATTTAGCGCGAACCTGCAGGCAAAGGATTAGCAGGCTCGACTGCAGGCACAGGTATGTACAGGCTCACTGCATGCACAGGATTAGCAGGCTCTAGCTGCAAGGCACAGATGTGAAGGCGCAACTTAGCAGTGGTCTCCGCTTGTCATTCTAGTGAGGCTCTGCTGGGCCATGGCAGAAAATGCTTCATTCACGGAAGAGTCTGATTATGAAAATGGCGCATAAGACCAAGAGGATTCGCATCCATTCCAAAGTCTTCTTCAATGGTTCAGTTTGTGGGTAGGCAGAAATGCAAGATTCCCACATCGCGTGACACTTATTGGCCACCATCCAGGTATCGGAGACTGAATTGTAGGCTGATTTTAATGCCTTGAAGAAAGTTCGGTCGAGTGGCTGCATTTTGTGTGTGCAGTGGGGTGGAAGGGTAATCATTTCAATACCATTTTTACGTGCAAAATCAAGGCAAGCAAGGGTCTTGTGGCTATGATGTCCATCCAGTATAAGGACATGCTTCTCATTTGGCATAGGCTTGGCAATAGTTTTGAAATGTTCCAGCCACTTTACAAAGATTTCCCCATTGGTCCAGCCATTGTCAGAGCAAGTTCCAATGGCTCCTGCAGGCGCATTTTTCATCAAATTCATATCCATTCTCTTCCGAGGGAAGATAAACATTGGTGGGATGTACGAGCCTGCAGCACTGGATGCACACAGAACAGTCACCAACTTCCCTCGTTCACCACTTGTCACCCTTCCAACTTCTCGAGCACCTTTTGTAGCCACAATCTTGCCTGGTGTTTGTACATTGGTTATGCCAGTCTCATCCATATTCCAAACACGTGTGGGAGCATATGCATGAGTGGTAAGCAACTCCCTATAGATG